CGACCAAATCACCATAGCTGGAGATTTCAATGCTCCATCACTGAACCTTGGCTCCGGGTGTGCTAAGGGAAAATTTGGCCGAAACCTACTGCAAACTATTCGAAACACGGGACTGACTGAGAATGTTGGAGACGACACTAGGTGGGGCCCTAGTGGAAAGTCATCAAAACTAGATTATATTCTAACTAGTGACCAGCTACTCGTCGAAAAGGTCCAGATCATGACTCCTCTGGGAAGCAGTGACCATGCAGTCATAGGTTTCGATCTTGTCCTCCGTGAGCGTTTGCAATGGGATGTTACGCGACCATGTCTGTGCTACAGCAAGGCTGACTATGCTGAAATGCGGAGGCTCTTGTCCGACGCAGACTGGCCCTTAGCATGGGACGACCTATCTGTGGATGAACACTGGGAAGTGGTAAAAAAGATTATCCATGCAGCAATCTCGGATACCGTCCCTTTAGTCACAACACAGCCTAAGAGAAAGACGTCATGGTTGAAGAGAGGCACGCAACGTATTCTGCAAGCAAAGCGGAGGGCTTGGTTTACGTGGCGTGTATCTAAGAGTCAGACCGACCATGATGCATACCTCGAACTCAGGAACCGGTGTAATGCAAGAGTTAGGAGGGACAGAAGGTCATTCCAGGCTAACCTTGCTAAAAAACTCCTATCAAACCCTAAAAACTTGTACCGATTCATGTCGGAAAGAAAACCGACAAACCAAGGGGCATGCGCCTTAGTAGGCCCAAACGGTCAATATCTCACTAGTCTGGAGATGGCTGAAACATTCAGTTCAGCCTTCGCTAAACAGCTAAACAGCAATGTGGATATTACAGTTACGGACCAAAATGGTGGCACCACTATTTCAGAGGAGGAAGACCTAGCGACTACTCCCCAAATAAACCCCGCAATAGTACTAAGGAAGCTACAGCGACTCATACCTGGGAAGTCCCCAGGTTGTGATGACATCAGGCCATCTGTTCTGAAACAGTGCGCCGAGGCTCTCTGTAGACCCCTGTGCGACTTGTTCCAACACTCAATGGATTCGGGGACCCTGCCAAGGGAGTGGAAAAGAGCCATCCTTTCTCCAATCTTCAAGGGTGGGGACAGGCAAAACGCTGCTAGCTATAGACCAGTAGCTCTACTCCCAGTGGTATCAAAAGTACTGGAAAGTATTATTGACGACCACATCAGGGAATATTTCGATAGGACTAATATACTGCATGAAGCCCAACATGGTTTCAGAAAAGGCAGATCCTGCGTCACTAACCTACTGTCAGCTTGGGACGACTGGACATCATGCTGGGACTTGAACGTACCAGTCCATGTGGTCTTCCTAGACTTTGAGAAGGCATTTGACACTGTTCACCATGACCTTCTCCTACATAAAATAAGACAGGCAGGCATAGGTGAGCCACTTCTGTCATGGTTGAAGGACTACCTAGCCGACAGGCAATTTTGCACTAAGGTTAACCGAGTCCGATCATCTTGGCACAGATCGTCATCAGGAGTGTCGCAGGGTTCTATCCTAGGACCACTGATGTTTTTGATTTTCATCAATGATCTACCACGCCGTCTGAGCTGCCCGACTCTCCTGTACGCTGACGACGTAAAAATATGGAGGGCGATAAAGTGTCCGGAGGACTCAGATAGGCTACAGGAAGACCTAAACCTTCTGGAAGACTGGGCGGTGGCCAGTGGCATGACTTTCAACTTGAAAAAGTGCAAAGTAGTGAAGTTGCGCACCTGTAGACTGCAGAATGCAAGTTACACCCTGTGCAATGAAAGCTTGTCCTGCACAACGTCGGAACGCGACTTAGGTCTAGTTCTAACGGAAAAAATGGACACAAGCGTAAATTACACAGGGGATGTAGCGAGGGCATATGCGGTCATACACTTTACGCATAGACAGTTAGGTGCACTCACTCCTGAGCTCTTTCTAATGTTGTACAAAACATACGTCAGGCCACACCTTGAGGTGCATAATATTATTGCACCCCCAATGCTGAGAAGAGATGCCAACCTCTTGGAAAGAGTCCAACGACGGGCAACAAAAGGAGTGGTTGGTCTCCGAAACAAACCATATGATGAAAGGCTGAAGAAATTAGGCCTGTTCACACTTAGTTACCGTCGGCTTAGGGGGGATTTGATTACTGCCTACAAAATAACAAATGACCAGAATCACCCAAACAAAGGTGTTCTGCCATTGAGTAGGTATAGGCTTCCACGTGGAAATCCCAGAAGGATAGCTCACCAGAGGGCAAGGACCCGGGTGCGCTCCCACTTCTTTTCACTGCGGGTTTGTCGTCCCTGGAATTCCTTACCGGCAGATGTAGCTATGGCACCGTCTTTGGACGCCTTTAAGCGAAGGCTGGACAACCATGCAGCGATACAAGGACTGCATCCAAATGGCCTATCTCCTTAAAATCGCATTTACCAATCAGGGTAGATAATTAAACTCGTCATTTTACTTCTTTACATTCTCTCCCGTCTTACTCTCCTGACAACTTATTAATATTATAATTACTATTATTATTATTACTATTACCGATATATATATTATTCTTCAAACTTCATGAGCTGACTGTTGTTACGTTTCCTATTTTCGTTTCTGTCTCTTAGTCTGAATAGCTTCACTAATTATATCTATTATTATTATTATTATTACTATCTCTTTTCTCTTGTCGACAATACCGAAGGACTAACTGGCGAAAGGATCAACTCCAATCACAGTAGTAACAGTCTTAACATACCTCATACTACAAACCACATATAATTAATCCCAGCACTACTCCCTTTGGAGTCAACCAAAGCTACGACAGTCGAGTGGCGGGACAAGCTACGCAGAAGTTTACCGAAGATCAAGAACCTATACCTCACAATCAAGAGGCGAGCACAAAGAAATCAAATTGGTTTATACTAGCTCGTAAAAACGATATTGGATATTGGACGAAGTATAGAGTTTGAAGATTTAGTCATTTCTAAGCTTGCTGTAAAGGAAGAATAGGAGGGGCACTTGTGTAATATTTGCATTTTGCAGGAGACAAACTGTGAAAGGTAAATCGAAAGTTCTTCAATTCTTCCTATCTGTCATGGAATATATGGACTAATCTCACTGATTCTTTTATTGTTCCCTGCCTTGTTCACATACTCATTGTGGTTAAGATAAGGAACTGTTCACCCGAGGTAAGATTAATTCACCTGATATGTATACATCCTTAGATATTTCTCGGGTTGGCCGGAGGTGGTCGAGGGAATACAATCTCGATCTTCGCATGGAAAGATCATAACCAGTTTCTTCTGAAGGATTAGGTGGTGCTGAAAGCTGTAAAAGCGGGTCCGGTGTCATTATCATCTGAGGGAAACTATCCACATATTGTGGATGAAGCGATCAGTGGACTTCAATTTGACTATGATGTGGCCATAAAAAATCTACAACTGTGATTTTTTCACTGAATTGTTATGAACCCTTTTTAATGGAAATATGTACCGTTTGACTGTCGTTTATTTTGTAAATGTATGCATTTAAGCCGACTACTTGTATCTCTTTTACTTATCATTTCGGGGACAGTGCATAGTTAACGAAATTGATAAGTATCGCAGTAACATTTGTGTGAAATGCTTGATGGGCGTAAAACATTATTATTTCCTCAGTGCGTCATCAAGCCTCGCATGAAATGTTTCAGCTACATTCAATCGGTTGCGCATATTATAAACATGCATCCGTGTTAAGAAGGAAAGAGCGTCAAACATGTGTTTGTATTGTAATAGTGAAATACAGTAAACCTCTTGTAAAATAATGTCAAAGTCGTAGACCATAATTAGTCATCATATGCATGCAACATCCTAGTTACATTTAGTCCGACTGCGTAAAAGATTACCTTTCATCAGGGCTAGCGAAAAATTATACGTTGAGCTTATGTTTGTTATGCGATTAATACATATACATAATAACAAATGTAGGATGGCTACATACATCGAAAATAACGTATTATAGGTGTATCCTATTGAAGATAACTATCCTAGTGTTCTTATGCTGCACAAATTATCACTCTTTCAAAGAAAATCATTACGCATTCCAAAACCGGCTACATCACTATTCCTTCGACAAGCGAAGGGTAGCAGTAGTACAAGAATACCGTTAAATCTTTTAAGAAACATTCATTTTGATAAATAATTTTATAATATCACAAAGATTCCAACATTAGTACGCAAATTGGTCAATAGCACTTCATCAAAGCCTCCAAATAAAATGAACCATTGCGTAAATTACAATTAACCTGCAAATCAACAACAGTAAAACATCTGTTACCAAATAATTAGCAATATAAAAGTGCTACAAACCAAAGTACCTTTCAGGAAAAACTTTGTTCACTCACTGTTATCTTACGAGTAAATCAACTCACACTCCTTTATAACTGTAAAATCTTGTGACTGTTACCAAGTTTTCATAACTCACAGATTCAAAACACCACTTCAGCATTTCGCAAAATATACTTCAACTACCTAATTCATTTCGTTTTTATTACAATAATCAACAATTCACACAGAAGTTTAACATTCCACATGCAAAGAACAACGAAATTCGATGACAGATACATGTTCATTCAAACTGCTGAAAACGTCTACTTTCCACCAATTTTCCAAGTTTTTCGTTAAAATATAGTATTTGTGATATAGTTCAGTTTAAAAAACACCTGAAAACAACATAGAACAACTCTAATACAACATCGCGATAACACACAACGACACCCCGTGTGTGCCTCTATCCATCTCCAAAATAAAATTCACTCCATTTTCAAAGCTCGCACGGAAATTCACTGTAGACGAGGAACTTTATAACCAAGAGCGAGCACAGAGGAATCAATTTAGTTTACACTAGCTTGTGAAAATAATATTGGATATTGTAAGTTAGGATTTCGGTTTGTTTAGTCCAATGAATGCAAGATACACGGCACGCGCAATTTGCTAGCTTACGTTCTTCGCCTGTGGTTTGACGGACGATGTTGCAAGACGTAGTGATAACCAAACTTTTCTTACCAGAGCGACGAGGAAATCTCTTACTGACAAGCATAAAACAAGAGCCAACTTCGGAAGGCTGCCTCCCTCAGAGCTTGTCGGCTCCAGTAAGTTTATGGTATAAATTATGGTTTTACGTGCTGAAAATGTTCTGAATGGGCTGAAATAAAGCTGATAAGCAAACCCGGTAGGTTCTGATCTACTCCTAACAATGCTTAAAAGAAGAACACGGTTCTGAATTAGCGCTAGTTATGCTGAAAACTAGCACTGAGTTCTAGTCTGTGCCATTAAACAAACGATATCAGAACAAATTCAGAATTTACTCACTATAGGATGCTAGAATTATTTCAGAATTACTGAGATTTAATTCAGAATTATAACAAGCTTGGGACGAGTTTGGCCACGGATTGATATCAGGTAGAGAACCATTGAAAACCAGGGAGTATCGGATAGCTGCTGTTTCAACCTAGTTTTGGAATAATCGGCTGTGCACACTCACTGCCAGGGTTCGAACCCAAGACCTACCGGTTACAATTGTAACCTATGTATGTCACTCGTATGTCACTCAGCTACTGGGACCCGATTCAACGGCCAGTGCATGAATTCTAACTTCTACCAATTCGTGATTTAGCGCGACCACCAACCAATGTCATAGGCGGGAAATCCATCCTCACATTTGACTGGATGTGCGCTACTGGTCATGACTTATCTCTAGAACTTCAGGAAACTCCGTCCTGTAGGAAGTCACTAGCAGGCATCGAACTAATTTCAGGAGTTGATTTGTAAAGATTAGATTTTTTTACGAGTTTGACCACTGATTGATATCAATTTAATTCTTACAAACTAACTCTTGAATACATTATGCTGTTTTTAGATTGTCTGTTTATAGTTAACTAATCCATTTCATTGATTTTGTACAGCCTGAATTTAGTATCAGAATTAAGACTTTTATTCACACTGGTCTTGCTAAAATCTTCTTAATAAATGCCTCTTGGTAATCCGTGCGGACTGGATAAATGTAGCAGTATTGTGAAATTCTAGCATCCTATGGCGTGAATGCGTGCGAATTCAGCTTCCTGGAAGCCTTTAAGCTATCCTAGAACAGAAGATACAATTTGATTTGATTGTAACACATTTAATTGGGTGTTGAACGTCATGTGTTGGGGTAGCCGCTATGATTTTTCTGCATCGGTTGATATTTAAATAAATGGTTTACATCATGTTCATATCGCAGAATAATCTCAGTATTATGCAGCAATGCTACACACTTTCCTACCTTTCACTTCTTTCACACCACCTATACGTGTCATCACAGTTACTTCCTGCTACTTGTGCTTTCCAGTGGTGGTATTCAAACAGTTATTATTGATTGCACAGTTCAGCGAAACAATTGACTGCGTATAAATAATGTAGTTTCAGGGAAGACGGTAGGGATTAAGTTCGTTGTTTGCATATAAGTAGCATGTAGTATTAGAGTTGGCTTTAGGGACAAAAAATGGTAGGTTTAATTTAGCAGGAAAACTAGTTTTGTGATGTTTATATGACATTTATAGACATGAATCTTGAAACTAATACACTCAGTCAGTTGTTTGCTGTTGTGACACATATTTGTAAGCATCTCAGTTGAATCGTGACACTGGGTATCCGGTTGAACGTATGTTTACAATTCATTTTGTAGCAGGAGAAGTGGGTTGTGTCATCAGGAATCAGGCAGAACATCCATTGGGAGGCTAATATCTACGTTTTATCACTGAGTGATCTGCGGAAGTGTTCTTGTTCAGCAACACAACAGTGAGTCTCTGAAGACTCCTTTATTGAATAAAGCTACCTAAACAGAACCTTGTTATATGATAGTAGTGATACTGATGTTGGTGCGGAGTTAAAGAATAGAGAATCGATTATAGAGTCTTGAACAGACTCCTAGTGTGGTTTGCCATTCTTTTATTCAATATGAGTCACCATTATTCTTCACCTCGAAGGTACACTTTGTTCTCAAGTCGTTTTGGAGTGGATACTATGTTATATTTTATATTAATTCCACATAAATTTTGTTTAACCCGTGTACGAAATGACCACAATTGTACATAAGAACTATTTTTGTAGGTCACGGAAATTTCTGAGCCTACTCAATCTAATAGTCGAACTCGATTTACAAGGTCCCTAAGCGCCACCTGTCCACCACCTTACTTTACTTCATCTGAACACATAACCCTCCCAGGAAATACTTTCTACACTTGGTCAGGATTTTGTCAACAACCGATTTCTGGGACGCTGAGTGGACATCTGAACGAGTCTAATGGACTTGTTGTAGGAAGTTCTGTACCTGCTTTAACCAGTGTCAATGATTCCACTCCCCTCACCGTACCCAGTGCAATTCGTCAACGTGCACCACATGATGTAAGTGCTTTTCCATGTCTTTTAGTGCTATTTTGTTTAAAAATTCGTGTTATGACTTCTTAATCAAGAGTTAGGTCAGTAATTATGTAGTGTCTTTATTATCACTTCAGTTTTAATGCATTACAAGAGTGTTCTTGAGATGATACCAGTTTTTACCCAGTTTGGGTTTATCCGAAAGTCATTTGAATATTACTGGTGCTGGAAACAACGGATACATTTTTTATCCGCGTATTTGGTTTCATTTTAATTGGTTAAACTCTTAACTCATTTGTGCGAAAATTCATAACAAACCATCTGCTCTTATATTGCAAGAGTTTGACTGATTCTAAGTTATATTACTGACTACCACCGGTTAGAGGATCACAGGGTTACTGGACAGCCCACAACTGACTGGCTACAGGATGGAGTTACTGGGTGTTTTGGTGAAATGTCGTGACCAATGACGTCCACCAGGTTGGATTCAAGGGCGGAGCTCGCTGACAAGACTGGTGGATGGTAGCGCTATATGTCGCAAATGGACAGAATTCATGATCCATAGGATTCTGTCCCAGTGGCCGAATGGTGAATGGACTCGCTTCGCAAATTGAAGGCCCAGAGTTCAATCCCTGATGGGGTAGTAAGTGTGTGCTGTTGGAGAGTCTCAAATTAGGACGAAAGAGCTGACAGTACTTCCCGGTGTTGTTTCTTTGACTGATGTTAGTTTGTGATGTGACTTGAAATCATCTCTTACAGTGTATACTCACATATAAAAGCAACAAAATGGTAAGTGTAAGGTATGAAATCGTAGAATACATAAATATTATAACCTGTATCACTGTAAGTGTATTCCTAATAAAATAATCTCAAGGATGGAGCAGGTAGGTTTGAGTCTGATTACCGTGTCTGTCACCTACTTTTCCATACATAGTTTAGAACAGGACTGAGAGATAGCAACAGCTGCCTACCATAAAATCTCTTTGAGAGCAAGCTTCCTTGGTTAACATTGTCCTAGTGGCAGGTATTAATTGAGCTCATGCAAGCTATGATGTGGTCATCCAAACTGTAGTGATTTAATCATTTCAGTTGATGACTTGTAGTTGTTATCAATGTGACACTTCAGGCTTAACGGTGATCAATTACCTCATGTCATGTGTACTTATATTTCCCAATCGCAATACTTTAACAACAGTAGGTAGAATACCTCGTCTGCAGTGTATATCGAGTGCTTTGAATTGTTTTTGAACCCTGACTTTTCTTTACAAGTAACCAATGTTTTCCCGTCAGTTAATAGGATTCAAGTTTGAGCAGTATTTTTTACCGGCTTTTCTCAAAGTATTGCTTGATAATAAATTGTATGGACTTGCATTTTATTTAATTTATTCTTTTACGTTCCCAGTGGGGCAAGAGGCTTCAGACTAGAGGCTTGAAGTTTCGGTAGCAGTGACGTTTATTTTTACGGGATGGATCTGCTAGCCAGCCTCATGCCCAACCTTCCGTTTACCGGTTTTTACTACTGGCTTCGAGAGATAAAAAGGTGCGTTGGCCGGGGAATCTAGTTCTGCACCACATGTGTGGATGGCGAGCATTTTACCGCTGTGCCACCAACGTCCACGAACTTGTATGGCCACTGTAATTACAGATAAAGAATAAACAGTGAGCAAAACAGCGAACAAATATATTCACACGTAGGTCAGCTAGTACATAATAGTGACCAAGAATAGTCAGCGTTATTTCATGAGTACCACTCCCCATATCACCCATCCATCTTAGCTCTCTTACGACTAATTAAGGTATCCACAGTAGTTCATATATATTTATAGGCTCGGATTGTTTGTTGCATATCATGACTGAAGTTCTTTTAAAGCCATCATTAATCTACAATTCTTACTTTTTATTTTACGTCAGGATCAGTGTTCATCAAGTAACGTGGTTCACAATACAGCTTCCGCAGACACACGTCTACATTTGGCGACAGGTGGTGAGTGTGTTAATTCGTTAACATTTAATCATCGCCCAGTTCATTCAGCTGTTCGTAATAGATGTACGTTAGTTCCCCGTCCCACACCACTATCAAAAGGATGCACCCAACCAGCAACCAGTGTATTGCTGAATTCACAGCCACCAATGGTAAACACTTGTTCCCAACAATTAGGAAGTAATATACAAAATCCAGTCGTATCTACAGTCGATCCGAACAGAGTAAGTGTCGAGAATGATTATCAGAATGGTAGTTTCAATTTACAAATATCTTGTGCATTTAAACTGTTATTTTCATCGTCTTATCTACACGTGAATGTAACAGACTAAACATTTGTTTTACACGTCAATAATGTTCGTTATTTTTGTGTCTCTGTTGATTAAAGACAACTGTTGTTTACATATTTCTATCATGTAACTAGGTATCTTTGTATTTCGGTAACCGATAAGGTTTCAAGGCAGGTTACTTGTATTGTAAAAATTACAGTAAGGTTTAAACTCTGTGTCCTTAGTATATGACTTTGAGCACGAATATATCTGTAGGCAAATTAAATCCTACAGTGGTCACATACCAGTTTTACTGCTTATTAATTCTTGAAAAGGTTGCATTGCTGCAACCCAGTGTGGATTTATGCACCTAGCAGTGAGCCACACCTGCGTGTGTATGTGCTGATTCTAAGGGATTGTTTGATGTCCCATTAAAGAAAAAAACCGTAGTTCTAATATGCACTTCGCTAGTTGAGATCCAGTCACCCAGGCCTATGGATCATTTTACATTTGGTTTTCCAATGATTAATATTCCATCAGTAGTCTCAACTACTAGTGGGGTTAAACAGGGTTACCCGATATCCCCACTTCTGTTTAAATTTGCCATCAGTCACATTCTGGAGTCAACTCTGGAGGATGTGCGTGATGGTGGTTGTGTGGATCTGCTAACCAAAAATACTTTGAATTCGAGTTTGCAAACGACATCGTCTTACTGTGCAGTAACATGCTGCAGGCTGTGCAAATCGTACTTAATCAATTGATGGGCAATGCTTACAATAAGTATGTTATGTGCTTTTCTCCGTCTAAATGTGACTGATTGTTATAACACTGGGAGGAACCTGTACTTGCATTCACCCTTACAGTTGAACTGTAATGAGTAACCGCTAGGTACATGTATGTAGATGGTTGTTTTAGTAACCATCACTTGTCGGGTTTACAATGCTTCGGTGCGCACAGCCTTGCCGTACATCTGTAAAATCTATCCTCCGAGCTGAGGATCAGTGGCGACTCTGTGTATTGGATCGCCAATGCCTTTGCAGATTGGTTTGCATTCAGGAGTGTTATCATCCACAACTCAGCAGTGGATTCTGGTCTAAGTGAGAACATCGCTTACTGATAAGCAGATATGTCCAGCTGGTTAAGGAAAGTAGTATAGAATCCTTTCTGTGTTATTATTAAGCCACTGAATATCTTTCCATAATTGTGCATCTCAAAAATTCATATTTATTTATATTTTAAACAGTTGTCAATCTCTTCAGCCGCCAACAGGATTAATGAACAAATTATGAATCCTCCTCCTCCTCCTATGGATGAAAATGTCCTATGGGGTCGTGTCACTCGAAACTCATCGGGAGATTTAAAATTTCCTGGCATAAATCGCACTTTTAAAAGTGTTTCTTCAGTCTTGAGACAAATTTATCAAACGGCTACGGCTGAAGACAGTTTGTATTTACAGGTAGATTTTTCATAGTTTATATTGATTGATTTGTTGATATGAGTAGTCAATGTTTTCAGCCAAGTCATCACGAGTCTGTTCTTTACTCTCTTCTGTGTTCAGACAGTGAGCGATGATGAACTGATGAATAGTTCCTAACTACGACATTGTATCTTTAACTTCAATAGGTATATAGTTTGAAAATTATCAACCTTGCTTTCGAGTGATTCGTTAAGTGATGCGGATTATTGTGATGAAATCTCCGCTGATATTAGTCAGATAGGATCAAACTACGGCGAGTAAGGAGCTAACCACACTACTCAGACAGAGGGATCGACTCAGAGTGAATGCCCACGGGACTCTGACCTGGCGAGAGAACGACGGAAGCTGGCTGGCTGTCATACCTCAATCGTCGCGCCACGACATGATAGAAGAATGTCACCAGCTAGCGCATACAGGCGTGGCCAGAACGACCGACCTCCTAAGACAAAGTATGTACTGGCCAGGTATGAGAGAAGACGTAGCAAGATACGTACTTGGATGTCCACGGTGCCAGCTGATGAAAGGTGACCGGTATATACGACCACCACTTCAGTCGATTCCAGTTACCGCGATAGGTGACTTGTGGTCCGTAGATGTCATGGGTCCATTTCCTCAGACATCCAATGGTAATCAGTACCTCTTGGTGATGACGGAACACGCGACACGATGGGTAGACGCCGTAGCAATCCCAGACCAACGTGCAAGAACCGTGACAGATGCAGTAGTAAGACACATTGTTGCAGACCACGGCGTACCGAAGACAATACTGACAGACCAAGGTCCCTGTTTCGAGAGTGAAGAGTTTACTTCCCGTTTGCAACAGCTGGGCATCAAGAGGATCAGAACGACTCCATACCATCCACAAACAAATGGCCTAACAGAGAGAAACAACCGTACACTGAAGGAGTGGCTGGCCTCGAAGGGCGGGAACTGGGAAACGGAGCTTCCACTGATTTTACTAACACATCGGGCTACCACTCAGGAAACAACGAAGAAGTCACCCTTCCAACTGATGTATGGTAGAAAACCACGATTACCGGTAGACAATGAGACCTGGCCCATGCACCAAAAGTGGAGTACGACGAAATTAAAAGCAGAGAGGAAAGAGGCAGTCAAGAATGTAATACGGAAGCAGCGCAGTGATGTCGCGAAGTCTCAGATGAAAGAAAGGACGCAGTGCATTACCTTTGCAGTCGGGGACCAAGTGAAGTGTAGAGACAGGAGATATACAGTTGGAGGTGGGCTAGGTTCACGGAAACTCCTTCCAAAGTTGGGAGGACCATACACAATCACAAAAAAACGGGGTCAAGTATATACCATCCGAAGAGGTGATAAACAGAAACGAGTTAACGCCAGTCAGCTCCAAAGATGGGTACAGTGGGACAAACCGGTCAGTAACAATCCTCAACTAGAGGATGTAGCACCCAGAAGGTCGGAACGTCTGCGCACGAAGCTATTTGACGGGGGGACGAGTGTGGTGAGAGCAGGCTGCTAGCCGATTGTTTGACACTAATCTACGTTAATGTCTAGGTCACTAATATGGGCCGTGAGAAAATATGAACAAGGCTGTTTCAACAACCAATCACAGCAAACTTAAATGTGGACAAATATGATTCGCAGATAGATGGCTCTACTTTCCGAGAAATATCGAAAACAAACAATCATAAGACTGTGTTTGTCTGCTTAACTTCCGAGAAACAACCAATCAGAAGACTGCCTATTTCTGCTTGCATAAGCCTTATTAATACACATAAAATATATATAAATACGTGTTGATTTTCGTAATAAAACGATCAGTTGCCAGCCTTTGTCTTCTGTTGTTACATGAGACGTGATTGACAACACCATAGATACAAACACGATTATACCACAAATCGTGAATAGCGTCAGCATCGAAGTGTCAAAGAACACTGTAGCACAAAGTGACACTTGCACTGTAGTAGGTGAACAAACGACACGAGAAGGCGAAGGGAAACCCAAAAAGAGCAGTAACACTGTAATTGGTCTCGAAGTTCGTGAGAACACTCCCAGTAAATCTACTGACCACACCCATGAAGTAGATGTAGATGCTCCTACTACCGATAACCTACAAATATCGGCAGATCACACTGCACCCAGGGCCAAACAAGATAATGCCACTGTAAAAGCCGTAAAGAAGTCCCCTAAAACCAAGGTTTCTCCTCATGCGTCCATATACCTCCCTTGTGACAAGCCCAACAAGCAGCATATAAGCCTAAAAAATAACTATGCACGCATTGCGGCAGGTCCCATAAAGGAGACGGAAGACGTGAATAGAAGAGCTCCTCGTCGAACTAAGAGTAGTAGACGAATTGAGGACGACAGACTGCACAAGGTGAGAACTAACGGCAAAAATAGCTCTACCCACACAAAATCACACGCCAGCAGATATGCAAGGGGCACCGAGCTGATCAAACAGCAGAGTGATACCCACGATTTCCGCAATAGCCGAGGTTATAATATGCCTGTAGGCACATATAACCTGAGGACGGGACCCATAATCAATAATGAAAACACATGGGCTACTAGACGGGACACCACTAGATACCATATCAACGGAAATGCATACTCGAACCCTCGGCATAACGGGTATAGATTGGCCCCTGGTCCTTCTAGGTACACTCACGAGATGAGTCAGCAAATGTACAACTACATAAGACCGAGCACGCACTATCCTCAAAACAACCTAAAAACAGGGTACTATGGCCCTGTAAATTACAATGTGAACAGTGAAACAGACTATTTTATGCAGAGAAATGATCCTAGATACCCACGTAATGAGGCCAGAAACGATTATATGCAACAGGATTATTTTCGGTTGCAGCAAACAATAAACCCCCCTCGCAGCACAATTTGTCCAGGGAATAGTAAACACGCTGACAATGTCTCATATGAGGATCCCTCCGAACATAACATAGGCGACCAGAAGTTAGGGATAGTAACAGGAAAACCTACTAACTATCCCAAAAACCCTGGTTTTCTGAAAATTATGCTTTTAAATGCTCGATCTCTCCTTAACAAAATAACTTCTCTTTGCAGCTTGGTATACATGGAGCGGCCAACACTGATTCTGGTAACTGAAACTTGGCTTACTACTGATATACCTGACACAAAGCTGATAATTGATAACTACAACATCCACAGGAATGACAGAGTAGACAAGAGAGGAGGCGGCTGTCTAATATATGCCTCTAAATCCACTAACTCCAATACCTTTACAAACCTAACTATCGACAAACTCCCAGAATCCAAGTGGATAAGCATCTACACGAATGAAAATAACATTCTGGTGGGATGTATATACAGAGCCCCTAACAGCCCTATAACGACTGATACGGTTATCGGAGAAATACTAGAGGTTGTACCTAAGCTGGAATTCAACTACAAACTAGTTTGTGGCGACTTCAACCTCCCTGGAGTGAACTGGGCTACCTGCACTGGACCGAGAACCTACGAGGTGATCCTAGAAGCCATAGATGTAGGAGGATGGAAGCAGTGCGTACGCCTCCCAACACGACACAACAATATTCTCGACTTAATCCTCTGTCACAAAATAGAGCCGATCTCGATAGAGGTGAGGGATAAACTCGACAACAGTGACCACAACATACTGTACTGCACCCTACCCTTACAACTAACAACTAAACACACACCTAAGAGTTCCCCGGTTTACTATCAATATAGGGACTATCGAAATGCCGACTGGGAATTCCTACCAACGCTCTTGAGAAGCTCAGACTGGGGTGAATACTTCACCAATAATAACTTAGAAGTAATACTAAATACTTTCTACAAGACAATCAGTTCGGTAAGAGACACAATCGCACCCCTGAAATCTGCCCTAAAGACACCAACTCTATTCATGGACCGCAAAATGCGAATAAAACTAAGGAAACTAAAAAGGAGATTTTATTTATACAAAGAATTTAATGCATTACACCTGATACACGAGACATTTAAAAATTTAGATGAGACATAAAATGAAAGCACAAGTCGAGGAAAATAAAACCCTAGAGGGCACCTCTAAAACCCAGGAACTCTGCAAAATCTTGCAAAAACGGCTGAAGAAGGGTGAAGAAAACAATATCAGTCATTTAGAACACGAAGGTATAATTTAAGACGATCCCCAGATCATTAGTGAACTATTGAGTGAGTGGTTCTCCAATTACACCAAAGCACATCCGTCCCCAATTCTCGACATAACCTGCAAAAATAACTACAATAACTACAGGTCGTGGGGGTGGAACACCCATATACGTTAAACAACCCATTTGTGCAACGCATTTTAGTCACCCTATTCTGTCACAACTTAATGATTCGGTGTGGGTCGAAATAAAAGTTCTCAGAAGTAAACCTATCCTTATAGGGTGCGTATACCCACCGCCATCATCCAACCGCGAATACGATAACGTACTCAGCAACATATTTAGTGTTTCATCCAATCTCCCCTTCAGTTATAATATAATTGGAGGTGACTTCAATTTGCCTGATATATCATGGCGTACACTTCGTGGACCCTCGAGGTATGATAATCTTCTTAATTCCATCATTACTGGAGGATGGACGCAACACATAAGTGTACCCACTAGGTCCAATAACATTCTTGATCTTATATTCACGATCAACGTAGCACCATCTACAATTCATGTGGGACATGAATTCCCAGGTAGCGATCATAAAATAGTTGCATGTTCGTTTAACATTTCTCCAGAAACTATACACAGAAACAAAGTTAGTCGGACACCTATAAGACTATACACGCGGTTTGATTGGGACTTGTATCAGGACTTGATTAGATACTCTAATTGGGATTCCTACTTTACCAATGACTCCTTAGAGGAAGTCCTTAAAAACTTCTATGACAATATACAGTCGGCTAATGATGTCATAGCGCCTGTGAAACTGATTAAATTCAAAATCCCTCAAGGTGATTTTATTCCAATATCATTAAGAAGAAGTTTGCGGAAGCATTCATT